CAATGTTCTTCATAGTTCCCTACCGATCAGAAGAGGTCACGTACCTCTGCCATTTGGCAGTCACCGTATGTATTCAGAAAGTCTGATTAACAAACAAGGTGTTGAAAAGCAAAAATAAACAAGGCATTGTCTTGCTAATCTTTTGGCACATGGAATGATGTCCAACCTACTGAGCCACCTCAGAAAGGGCTCTTGCCCATCTTCTTGGGCATTCCCTTCAATGAATATTACCTTGGAGATATATTTGAAAACATAACTGAGAAGAAATCTATCTTCCCTAAATTTCAGGATAAGCAAAAAGATACCTTATTGGGGGCTCTCTCCTATCTTACAATTCGTTACCAGAAAATGAATATCTTAGTACAAAAAGCCACATGATCTCTTTTATCACCACACCTATGAGGAAGACAGCCATGAACATGACAGACATCCATGGGTGCACTCAGGGATGTGTGTCAGTCTTGGTTGGGACTTGACTCCTTTTCTCTCCCATTTGGGATAAATCACTAAAATTCAAGTTAGAGTGATGTTATTAAAAAGTGGCGTCATTAGTAACAAGTCACTTGCCACAAGACTCAAAAGTGATGATACTCAGTGTGTTTCACACTGCAACTGAGAACTGTAGGTTTAGCCTCTGCTTACACGTGGGCAGTGATGGGGAATTCAGTCTCTCTTTTTCAACAGCTCTGACAGTTGAAAGTTCTTTCTTATGTTGAACTTGACTCTATCTCCCCACAGTTTCTACCATAAATGGGTAATTCTATCACTTGAGGTTGGATAGGATCTAACCCTTCCCTACCCAATAACTAATAAAGTATACAAAGATAATGACCAGGGGCCTTCTATCAGCCTTTCCCCACACCCCACTCTTCCATACTCTCCTATGGAATAGCATTCTTTCTTTTTTCTCTCAACATCCAGTTTTTCTTTAAACTTGAGGCTGCCCCTTAAAAAGAATTCCTTTCTTATTAAAATGATTTATATTGAACATGTCTAACCCTAATGCCCCTCTGGTTTCAACATACAGGATTTCCCAGCATACTTTTCAGATTGCAAAGTGAGACACTATCCCCCTTGGCTCGGACTGCTGCATTACCCATATGTTCAGGGCCATCAGGAAACTTAGGATTTAGCTCAGGTGCTCTCTCCTCTAGGAAGCATCCACTGATCTATCTGGCCTGAGTTAGTTCTTCCCTGGGCATCACGACCAGGACATCAAGCACGATGCCCTGCATGCCACTGATGTATGTGCCCACTTCTTCCAGCAGAACTGGAAACTCCTAGAACCTAGGAACTGTGCCTTCACTGCCTTTGCATCCTGTATTTATAGACATTCCTTGTGAATTAATGAACATAACTATATACACACAAATGCAGAATCACTGAGGCAACAGATGGAAATTTGAGAAGGAACAAGAGGGTCCTCAAATTCAAGAACTTCCACTTGACAAAAAGTCTACAAGCTTTTCACACACAATGTCTGCACCATAGAAGAAATTAAGTTTGTGTTTAATAAAGCTGGTAAGCAACAGATGCCATTTAAAATGAACATAGAAACGGTTCCAGTACAAGGCACACAAAGAGGAGGAGAAAAAAGGGTACTGGGCAGGGTTCCTGCAGAGACAACACAGAAGCAGAAATTCAGGCAATCAGCTGTGGGAGGGGAAGGCTGTAGGGACTGACAGACACAAATGGTAATTTCACTTCATCTTAGCAGGAGAGAGGCTGTGGTGGCTGATTAGAAAAACAACTTCTAGGAATCCCCACTTCTCTCTCTTGGTAGTGCTGCTTGATGCAAACCTCTAATTTATTTCATTCTGTTGTTTAATTGCACCTCTGAGAATACAGCTGAACAAGCTCTCTACTCTGAATCCTTATGATCAGAAAGCCAACTGTAAAAGGATGATTCTTCTGTAGCGTTGGGAATACTGAGCTAAAACACTTTTGTGAGTAATAAACATATTTTAGTATATGTGGTGCCGAAGCGAGCACTGTGAGTAATAAACATATTAACAGGAGAGAAAATATTTGATATTCTAAATCCAAAGGATGTGCTTTCTAATTACCACAGAAATCTTTACTGTTATTAAAAATTTAGCCTGGATAAATAGTAAAAAATTTGCAACAGAGCCACAGATAGACAATAGATGTGTGAAATAAAATGGAATAAAACAGATTTTCACACTGCACTGAAATTTAAATCTCTCAATTTACATAGATATAAACCCAAATACAAAACCCCAGGCATGTTCTTTAAAGGATTACTAAGTATTTATTGTAGGAATATCTAGATTTTGAAATGAACCTCCAGAAACTCATTATTTTTCTAGAAAATGGTAGAAATAAACCTCATCTTCATACTCAAGGGATGTCTGGGACTTTGCCTGAGGTAAAATATTTGCAATATCCTCTTTTATTTCAATTAGTTTGCAAGATTAGAATGGATTCAAAACCTCAATTAGTCTTTGAGTTACAAACTCTGTTCTACAAATTTCTTATTCTGTTTACTATCATTTAAGAAACACAAATCAGTCTGTCTTCGCTTAGCCGGGGAACCTTCATCCCGGCAAATGAAGAAGGCAGAAGTCAAACTCTGACTCCTTAGCTCTAAATTCCTAAATATCTGCCTAATCTGTCATCAATGACATGGCACTGGCCAGGTGACATACTGTAAATTCCTTCCAGGGTGAGGATGGAAGGAGAGACACATCAAAGGATAGGGAGGACTAAGGAAGAGCAAATGTAGACAGAGATTGGTCCAAATGAACAGACTTACATGGTTGCTCATAATGAGCGCAGAACTCTAACATTACAGACAGTAAAGTCAGACTCAAGTCATTCTGAGCAGGTATGTCAGTGTCTGGAGATTCAGATGCTATAGAAGAGGAATAGGTAGAATACTGTTTCCAGAACTATGAACAGCCATGGCTGCCAGCTCTGGTTGATGATCAGGTGGCATTCAGTACTGCCCAGAGATGAGAAATGGGGACCAGTGCCAGCTTCAAACCAGTGGGGGTGACTGGCTGCCAGGCATTTGGCATAAGAAGCTGGCTTCCCAGACTCCTGGTTGGGACTGAGGACTCATATTTAATCTCCTCTCTCATGGGTACTATCCTATCAGTGACGTCCATCTCAAGAACTTAGAATGATCAGCTGGGTGAATACTACAGAGTCATTTTATGAGACTACTGTCTCTTAGTAACTCATCTTTTTTTCAGGAACTCAAACGTGTCCTATTCTCTCTTATTTGTTGTTCCCTGGATCAGAAACACACAAGGCTCTTCTAACTCTTACCCATGCCCTGCATCTTCACTTAAATAGTGTAGAGGGCCAAATGGGAAGACACCTGGACATTCTATAGATTGTTGTTGACTGGGCCCGGGATAGTGGCAGAATCATGTCAGTTGCACTGCCGCCCTGGGAGTGCGGAGATGTTCTTAGTTCCTGGCTAATGTGTTTGTTCAGGAGGAAGGAGTGGGTGGAGCCTGGGCTCTCCCAGGCTCCTTGTTTTCCTGTGAAACCCCTTGTTAGATTGGAGTATAAATAGATGTGCTGCCTGGCTCAGGAGGTTGTCAGTCTGTCTCTCCAGCAGAGGAGGTCAGCGGCCCTCCCAGCTCCCAGCTTGAAATCTATTTCTATGTCTTCTCTCTTTATTTCTAATATTTCTCAATCCCTGGGCACCTCCACTTAGAACCGGTTCATTCATCTCTCTTTCCATGCGGTACACAGAAAAGGGAGATCCCCGCAGCTTCAGACCCTCGCAAAATAGCAGGGAAGTCTTCTCTATGTGGGTGAGTCTCCTCTCTGCTAAGCTTCTCTAGTGCCATGTCTCGTTCCCCTTGCCACACTGGTTGGTATTTGTCCATAGTCTTCCTTCCCCACTAAACTAAGAACTCTATGCAGTCAGGAACCTTGTCTATCCTGTTCACAGCCATACCTCCATGCCTAAAGCTCATAGGAGGCACAAAACAAGAATTTGTTAAATGTATCAATGAACTCATCAGAAGAAAAATCTTAAAATAAAATGAGGCAGAGAATATTCAGGAATTTTTTTTGTTGGACTCTTCCCACAAAGAGCAAAAATAGAAAAATTCAGGCAGCCCACTGGAACTCATGCGAAGTAAGTAAAAACTATGATTTCTGGGTATCACAGGCTTTTGACACCCTCTTTGTTCAAGGACAGGGTTTATATTTCCAGGTCCTTTGTCCATATGCAATTTAGCACCTAAAATGATTCTTTGCACAGAGTGACACACACACTTCACCATAAGCCTAAGTATCACTTGCTAAAAACAGTCTCAAAGTGAAAGAAAAAAGATAAATGATGGCAATATGTCACAAGAAAAATGGAATGGGATCTTTTATTCACCTCCAGGTTCACTTACTGAGAACCTACTTTTAGGCAGAATGCTTAAGGATTTACACTATTTTTCACCCTTCATAAAAGTCCTTCAAAAAGTGATTCATATTCTCTTCTTATACTTATAAAAGCATAGAGGCTCCACGCAATAAACTGACCTATGCAACCAGCAGCAGAAGAGGGAGAGTCAGGGTGAGAAGGATCCACCACGGCCTTCTCCCCACATCGCCCTGCTCTTATGGCTGGCACGGTCCTGTAGGGAAAGTCTTCTGAAGCCAGAAAGTGACACAAACTCTCCCCAAAACATTTAAGGCACCGTTTCCCCACCTTCTCTTTCTTCCCACCTCACCACATTTCAATGCCAGCTCCACGTGGTCCCTATTTGGAAGAGTGATGATAAAATCCACAAGTAAAAGTACATGATGGAATTTCACCTTCATTGACATTTTGTTCTTGGGGCAGTACAAAGGGATGACAGGATACTTTGCATTTTCAGTTGTAAAATAAGACACTAAAAAAAGAGAATTTTCAAGAATAACAAAATGTATTACCAGGTACCAGTGGAGGACATTCTCCCTTCTCCTCTTTAGGATGCTGGGCAGTTTTGTAACAAAGGGGGTTTTGTGTGGTGAAGACTTACCCGCTCCATCTCCTTGAAGTCATGATCTAGCTTGGTTCCTTCAGCTCCTCCAACCTTTTCACTCACTTTCTGTGGAAAATAACCAAAACCAATTATTATAAAGTTTCCTTTAAAAACCTCTTACAAGTTTTATGCACCTTCACAAATATCATTGAGTATAATCTCACAACCATTTTGTGACATAGGCAGAAAGTCCCATTTTCACTGTGGCTCCTAGGGTTTAAATAATTTACCTGATAAGATCTGAAAAATGAAATTCAAATACTCCTGTGTCTTCTGATTTCAACCCCAATGCTCTTTCTATTATATAAATCATTATATAACTATCTAGTCAGTAACATTTTCCTTTTGAAAGTTCTAAGGGACAACAGCACTATATAATAATCCTCTCCCTCTGCTAATGGATCTAAAATGCTACCTAGGTAGAAAATTGCTACTTCTTCAACTTATTCCTCAAGGGCTATTGAACAGAAAATCACAAACATCTATCAAACTGGAGAGAAAAAACTATCAGCTCAGCCAATCTTCAGGTAAAAAAACTTGTGCAGTAATCTTATAATGCTCCTTGTAGCTGTCTATATTCTTATATATGTAATATAAACTATATGGAAAAATTATTATGGACATTTCTGTACCCTCAATGAATTCCCATTATCATACATTGTATATTCATCCATTTACCCAAGCAAATGGTCATTTTTCCAAATGTAGAATTCATGTTCATAAAAAATTTGATGACCTATCTATTATGAAGAAGATTCAAATGAAGACTAATGAAAATTTATTAAGGAATCACAAGAAAATGGCTTTGGTATCATCAAAGATGTGGATATTAAGTGCTAATGACACAACAATTCCATTCCTCTAACTGTAAAGGTACTTAGGCACTTTTCAATAAGACATTATTATACACGAGTTATCATGCACATATAATATATCAAAGTATGATTTCTCATTTTCTTTAATAGCCACTGGTTGGGGGTTTTTGCAAGGATTCCCACCATGACCAGACCTACAGCAACCTCAGTAACAACCTGAGAATTCCAGTGAGCCCCTTCTAAAAGGGCTCCTGGATGCATGGTCCTGTCTCTTGGCTATGGAAGTTCTGGTATTCCCTTGTTGGGGGCTGAGGTGTATTCCTTACCCTTTCTTTCTCTGTCTTAAATTCCCTTAGAAGTGATCGCTTGGAAAATCAAGAGTCTGAACTCTACCACTACTTTGGCCCTGTATAGCAGATACCATTCATTTAATCCCGGCAGCAGTAATAAAAAGAATATGCTGTGATAGAAGGCCACAGTAAGTACTGGTTCCACTACTTTTTGCTAAGTACACAGAATTGTTATGAAAATAAAAAGACGTAATAAATTTAAGGATATGTGTCAGAACCTACGAGATATGCAGGATATCACAGTTCCCTTCTCTCACCAATCAAGTGTATATCTGCTTATAGTACCCTGGCCATTTATTTACTTCTTACTTCATACTTTGGGAAGAATCTAGCAATTTTCATTATCATAAGACATGTGAATAAAGGTCAATGATGAAAAGTGAAAGGTTGAAACAATAATTAACATCTTTAATTTGTATAGCTGACATACTTGTAATTTATCATTGGTGTAACACAAGAACTATGGAAAACATTACTGTTATTACTATGTTTCAGATGATTAAACTCAGAATTGCATAAATTGAATTGTCTATGCATAGTACTCACCTTTATCTAGGAAGGGGCGAAAACAGGACCTGAATGCAATTTTCCCAAGCTAAACCCTGGGCTCTGCAGTCACACCACTGCTTTGAAGAGCTGTCCATGGTACTGGCCTTCTCTGCCCAAAGTTCTGTTAGATTCAGATGGCCAGAAGTAGACTCACTATCGTGTTAACCCTTGGTCCCTGACATCACTCTCTCACTTAACCTGAGTCCTGGGTGGTGCTGACTATTAAGTATTTCAATAGTATGCACATAGACCCAGGCTTCATCTGGCATTATGACAACCACATCTAAAGCCAGCACCAATTGTGACCTGGCCCAGCAATTCTTTACCAAATGAGATTGGGGCTGGGGAGGCCATAGTATTCAGCTTAAAACCTCTTGAGTGAGAGTCTGGTTCCCAGTGATTTGATCTGCATACTTAGGTTTTAGTTACAGAAAGTCAGAAATCAAAGGGGCCTTAGAAATTATCACATTTTCCCAATCACCAAATCAATTTTTACTCTGATTTTTTATACTGGTTCCCTTTCTTTCACTTTGCTCAGGAATGACTGTTTTAGCTCATTCTGCCAGTCCTCTTATGTTTTATTCTTGAAGTATGTGGGGTTTTTTAGTTAAATTTTGGTGGGAAGCTAATCTAATTAAACCCTCCACACAATAAAAAAATATATACTACACAATCCCAAGTTAACTATCTCTCAGATCTTCCTGACTGGCTCCAATGTCAGGGAACTCACCAAGGACCCATTTCAATGATCCTTTATGGGTCACTATAGATGTAGACCCCTCCTATGACTTATGATATTTAATTTTAATTTGCAAAAATATCACACACAAAAACACAAAACTGAGACATGTCTCTGTAGTAACATTAAAGAATCCTGTTACCATGGGGTTAAGCACATTCTGCCCACCTCTAGGAAATAAAATTTGGCCCCCACCGAAACCACGAGGACTTATATCACAATTTCAATTCTATATCACTCAACTGAGAGTGAATTTAATTTCCCCACTTTTTTTCATTATCAACAGGTTAGAAGCACAGTTGCTAGGTCACTGTATCAAACAGGATACCAAATTGAATTATTTTGTCCATTAATAATTTAGAACTAGTCCTGGCAATTCACACTGCAGCCATTTTTACTGGGCTTTAACTATTTGGTTTAAGTTCTGTATATGTGGGTGGAGGGGGGAGAGAGGGAAGAATGAGACTATAAATATCTTTCTCTTCTTAACAAAAGCTGACATTTGACCTGCTTTGAGAGAAATGGTTCAGCAAACAGTGAATGAGGCCATTAGATACTGGTACTAACTTGATATAAAATTTTTTAATCTAATTAGATTCTTGGGAAAATAAGAATATTCAACATGACATCTACATGGTTCTCTGGGCTATTGTTTTTACAAACCACAAAGGATCTAAATATATCAAGGCATTGAATTAAACCAGTGGCCAAATAACAACTGTCACATTCCTTAAGAGTATGCCCAATGTTCTCCTCCTGCTCTTTAAATAACATTATTAAAATGTCCATGCATAGGCATCAAGGTACAGAGTACAAGCTCCCTAAGACCACTTGGCCAAAATGAGTTTTGCTTTCCCTACCAAGTGTCATTTATGTAACAATAGCTTTGCCCTATTTTCCAGTGAGGTGATTCCTGAAACTAAAGTTTCATAGTATTGAATATTTTCTGTTGCTGTTCAGAACACTTTGGCTAATGTTGAAAATTTTATCCTTGTTTAAATGAAAATCAGCAAGTTACTGGAACTTAAAAAGTACAAATGAACTGTAATATACCCCTTGTATCATCTAAAAAATTCCTCTATTCAAATATCTATTTAGTACAACATTGAGAGCTTATGCTTCTAATCCCATCTTCTCTTCCACTCCATGTACGCTGTATTCCAACCAAACTCCAAATCCCATCTTCCTCTCTCTTATTCTTCATTGTATTCCTCACAACAGGTACTCAGAAAGATCTATATCTGAACCACAATGTACTTGTGTAAATATAAATGTTAAGATGACTGAGAGGAGGGTAAAGTGAGGCTGATCACCTCACTTTAGGATGGTCTTTGAAAAGGCACAACTTAAAAAGAAAATATAAATAATACAACCTACTCATGTTTTACTATTAAATTAAAAGTATTATTTCTGAGTCTGCAGTCTCATTTTTCTCTCTATACAAAATGAGAAAGATGTCACAGGGAGCCAGCAGCAAGCAACAGCTTAAATAATTGACCACTGTTCTCAGCTCAAATGATGCTGCACTGCTTCCCACAATGACGCAGCCTCCCCCTCAGCAACCATCAGTCTAGGCAAAAGACACCTCATCCTGTAGGTACAGCTGATTCTTCTCTTAATTGCATTCCATGTATTAAATATTGAAGGGCCAACTACCATTCTTCAACTGCCTCTCATAAAGGTCTCTTTGAACACCATATCATCAGTAAAATTCAACAGACTTAACACCAAATTCAGACCCTAAAACTTGCAAGGCTATTTACTTCCTTGTCCAGCTTTGAGTGTGTCCTCAGCCAGGTTTCCTCACCATCCACCAAAAGTGCTTATTTCCTCAGCCATGGACCTGGATCTATTTCCATTTTTATTATTTTTCAAATTCTACCAATTATCTAAAATGTTGACCCAGATTTCAACTTTTCCATTACCTGAAAATGATCAGACTTCCTTTGCACTCCTAATGAGACACATCTTCTTTTGGACTACCTGGAACTTGCCATCTCAGTAAATTTGCTGAGGACCCTTGTTCATCTGAATTATGATATATTAATGGAGGCAATCATATCGCAGGCTTCTCTGTTGGAAAACTTCTGAGAGGACATTACCAAACATAGTGCTTGCAGGGCAGACACTCAATTCAGTTGAAAAAAACCCTCAGTGAATTATCCTAAGACCAAAAATTACACATAAATTAAAGGAAGACCCTTAACTATGAGTTAGCACCGGTTCTGTGTCTCCTGAGAGTTTACTCTCTCCTCTAAAGTGTAATTATCTTTTTCTCCATCAGCAACAGGCAAAATTAAAAATTCTAAAAGCTATGATGTCTGATATTTTATTTAAAGCATAGCTGAAGTTAAAGAAAATTCTCTCTCAACTATAACCATTCCACATTCATTCACCAAGTTACTTTTAGCACAATTACAATTAAGAGTAATGATACACATTCTTCACATTAATCATGGTCCTAAATATATATGTATTTTAGTTTATATGTAAACATACACGTGTGGGAAACATGTTTGTGTGTGCATATGTACCCATGTATCAGAGAAAGTAAATATAATTGTTTTTCAAAGTGCTTTTTAAGAATAATCAAAAATAATTTTATCAAATACT